TCTTATTTTTTTATTCACAAGTTCATAAAGGTCACGGAAAGAAGGCAGACATGCTTCCTATTGTTTATAGAACAAAAAAAATGATAGCTGTTTACCAATACTATGCTTGTTTCCTGCAGACAGCTCAGGCAGTTTTTTGATTATCACAGTTCTTATATTCATGACCTAGGAATTTGAATTGTTTCACCCTAAAATGAAGTTTTAAAAAAGTTTGACTTTATGCATTTCTTCCAGTTCTTGGTAGGAGCAGTATAATTTTTATTTGCATTCCTTTAATGTATTCTTCTTGTTTTTTCTTTTAGCATCATCCGTGAGTACCCAAGTGCTGGGCCACAGTTGCTCGGTGGAATCCTAGCAGATGAGATGGGTCTCGGAAAGACAGTGGAGGTCTTGGCTCTGATCCTGACACATACTCGACAAGATGTCAAACAAGATGCTTTGACTCTTCCTGAGGTGGGAGGAGTCCTGTGGGGTTTGGGAAAGCAGGGGACATATGTTCTCAGAAAGCATCATGTGTCTAACAGTGGGTTGGCACTTAAGTCAACATTTTCAATTTATGCTGCGGCTAATGGTTTACATTAGTTATCAGTTAACCTCAAGTGGGCCCAGAGAATGGGATGTTTGTGACCCAGTGGGATTCAAGTGATGATGGCCAACTAGGAAGGGGATATGCTGTTACTGACCAAGCTGCTTTCTACTTGGCAGAAAAACTCCCTTAGGAAAGTACTGTTACAACTCAGATGTTTTGTCACTACTACAAGTCTCCATATTACCACTAGATATTTTTGAGAACTTTTTTTTTTAATTGTACAAATCTCAGATATGTAAATCTTAGACTCTAATAATGAGAATTTTGTTAAACGATGACTAACTTAGTCATTGGAGTGGTGATGAAATAAACTCTTAAGTCCTTATTCCAAAATATATAATTCTGTTTAAAGATATAAATTTTAAAGTTTAAAAAACACTCCACTGAGAAAATGTAGCTCATATGGGTCAATCATGAAATCTAAAATCAGCAATTAAATCTGCTGAAATGAGGCTACAGTTAAGGATATAACTGTAATTACCTGTAGAACCCACCATGCTCACAACCTTAGTGATGATATGATCTTTTGATAGGGTCAAGTTTGCAAAGTTAGTCTTTCAGATTTGAGGAGGCAGTAGAAAATATTTATTTCCTTTGTAGAAAAATGAGTTAGAGTATACAGTTTTAACTATCAGTAACTTGTTTTTGGCATTTTTAGCTCATTAAATATTTAATTCAAAATTATTTTTAGTAGTGTTACAAATTTAGTGGATTAATTCTATATTTAAACAAGCCATGAAAAGTTAATTGCAGAAGTCCCAACTTAACCTTTAGATAAATAAAGATAATATGCATAATTTTAAAAGGTGATGGCTAGCTGTAAGCCCTGAAATAAAAAAATAAGGTTTGTATGTATGAATAGCATATATATCCCTTTCTTCCATAATTTTTTACATCTCTTTTGTATCTCCTTAATAGAAGGAGGGTTAATTTTAATAATCAACTCAGGATACTGAAAGCAAAACACTATGTGACTACTGAATGTTGTTTATATCAGGGAAAAGTGGTGAATTATGTCATTCCATCACATTCTGGAGGAAAAGTAAAAAACACAGCAACCCAGAATTTGGAAATTGAACCAAAAGAAAAAATTCAGTGCCCCCGTAAGTATGAAATCTCTGAAAACATGTTTTTTACAGTGTTCAGTTATAGTTCTTGTAATTCTTATATAGCAGTTATCTTGTAATTGTTATGAATAATTGTTTTAATAGTTGTTTATATGTTGCATAAATGGGTCAGTTATAAGTCATATTATCTTAACAAAAGGAAGGATTTATTTTTTATTTGACTTTATCCATGTAGTTCTTGCTCAATCTGTTGTATTTAAATTTCTTTAGCTTACAATTTAAGCCAAGCTTTGTTTATTCTCAAGCCTAGCTGCTTCAAATTCTGCTAGCAGATGAATCATTCCCTTAAAAATGATAGCATAGGGCCGGCCGAGTGGCGCGATGGTTAAGAACTGGCTTGGGACGCCAGAGGGCCCCGGTTTGGATCCCACATATGAGGGCCAGTGACACTGCCCTCCACAGCTAAGATGCTGAACAACAGCTCAACCTGGAGCTGGGCTGCTGTGAGTCCCCGGCGACGGCGTAGGCTGCAGCCCCTGCTGCAGTGGGTTGCCATGGGCTACCGTGTGTAGCCAGCAGCCAGCGTGAGCGGCCAGCAGCCGCCGTGAGCGCCCGTCCAGAAGCCGGCGACTGATCTGCCTCGCCCGGGAAGAGTGCAATGATGGTGCCAACTTGGGCCAGTGAAGCAGTGTCCTCTGCAACTAGACTGAAGAACAAAAGGACAGCAACTTGTCTGTTCCCCTTCCCCCAATTCCCCAGCGCTGTTCCCATCCCCCAATTCCCAAATTAAAAAAAAAAAAAAATGATAGCATATACATAGATAATTGTGAGAGTTTTTTAATAATTTAAATATTTGCTTCATCAGATTAACAAATTCACAAGTAATTCTTAAATTATTTTCATTACAGTATTTATTTATTTTTAAATTTATTTATGTAAGATAAATTTTTATTATGTATTGTTCGGATTGACGATATACAGACAATATACCTTCAATAAATCTTTGATTTATTTTTTTCTTAACTTGTTCCTCAGTGTACGTTAAGATTAACTGAGTTTTAGTTTCTTTTAATTTTAATTGTTTTGACTGAGTTAGCATATCCTTTTGCATTTAGCTACACGTGTGATGATCCTGACAGCTGTGAAAGAAATGAATGGAAAAAAAGGAGTTTCCATCCTTTCCATCTATAAGTATGTCAGTTCTATATATAGATATGATGTCCAGCGGAACAAGAGTCTTCTGAAACGGATGCTGAAATGTTTAATTTTTGAAGGTCTTGTGAAACAGATCAAAGGCCATGGTTTTTCTGGGACTTTTACATTGGGGAAGAATTACAAGGAAGAGGATATACATGATAAAACAAAAAAGCAGGTAACAGAGCATTTATTAAGCTATATATGATGCCTTACAGAATGAGGTGACAGATCCCATCTTGACATCAAAGCTTTTACAGTCTGAAGATAAAAAACAAGCTAGTTAGGAAAATCCCTTATGGTTGTGACTTATGTTTTCTACTTCCTGAATATAAGTTCCATCAGAGTAGAAAGGTTACCTTTTAGCCAGAGAAAAGTACTTGGCACATAGCAAGTACTCAGTAAATGCTTATTTTTGTTAAGTATTAAATGTTTATTGAGTAAATTATAAAATTAGTTGCTTATGCATGTTATAAACTTTAAAACAACTTCTCCATTCTCATCATGCTGTTGTCAACAATTAAAAAGTTTATTCCATACTTGAAAAATATTAATATACCATCCATTTGCATAGCTCTTTGTATACATTTTGAATCTTTTATATAGTGAATTCTTACTTTCCCATATCATCATCTTATAAAATTTTTGCATTTGGTTGTAAAACTGTTTCCTTGGGGCTATTAATTTCAATTTGCTTTTAAGAAAATAGTTACACATTTATAAACATTAATCAAGAAAAGGTTAATGACAAGTACAAATGTGTCACTATCAGCTTGGCTACTGTGAAAGAAACAGCAGATAAAAAATTCATTTCCTGAGTAGAAAGTCTCCAACATTTTGTGGGAGTCACCAACATTTTTCCCTAGCCAGGGTAGAAGACTGCAATGAATTTCTATGCTTTTATTAATCCCATCACCAAAACAAAACAAAACAAAACAAAAAACAACTCCTTCAATTAATGCCATTCATTCTGTATAAAGTGTCCCAACACCTGTGTTCAGTCTCGAATCCTACATCATTTGTAGGAGGCTGTTGCTGTCACCAGCTTTCCACCACAGCTTCTCTGTGTTATATACTCCTCTTTTGCATTCCTATAGCACCATTTTACTTTTTACCACTCTCTCGTTTCCAACAAACCCCTTTGAGAACAGAGGTTAATATTTCTCATATTTGTATCCCCAGCATCTAACATGATGCCTGGCACAGAATTGACATTCAATAAATAATTGCAGGAAGGAGATAAAGGTAAAAAGGAGGGAGGGAGGAAGGAAGGAAAGAAGGAAAGAAGGGAGGGAGGGAGGCCCAGGAGGAAGAAATTTATTCGCTAGTTGCAGGGCCGGCCGAGTGGCTCAGTTGGTTAAGAGCTTGCTCAAGAGTGCGAGTTCTGAGCAACAGGGTCACCGGTTTGATTCCCGGGATGAGCTGAACTGCTGCTGAGCTGCCAACAGGTGGCAGGATGACTCAGCTGAAAAAAAAAAGTGTACTATTCGCTAATTGCAGTAACTAGATTAACTTTCACTTTCTGTAAATGCTATAGTTTAGCACTTGATGTTTTTATAATTGTCCTAGTTTGTATATTTATGTATTATACACTACTAGTCTTTTATTGATTTAGGCAGACCATAAATTATAAGAGGTTAATACCAAAATATCAGTAGCTCCCTTTATCTTTCTAATTTTTGTTCTCTCCAAATCTTACTTGTACAGTAGTAGAACCTTCCCTTTCTTCTGGACCTGCAGACTACAGGGAGGGTTCTCGTAGAAGGCGGATTAAAAGCCACTGATCAGGAGTGATTCTCATCAAGGAAAAGGGTAGCAAAGACTGGTTACAGGATTTTTATGTAAGGCACATAAATAAACTTGGGAATTTAATTTCAGAAATGTAACTTTTGGAAAAAAATAATTAAATAATATCTTTTCATAGGCAGTGTGGAGTCCAAGGAAAATTCAGAAAGAATCCAGAAAATCAGGGAGCAAAGACACAGATTCTGAATACTTGCCATCAAACACCTCTGGTGATGACAACGATCCTTACTATTATTACTACAAGGCCGGGAGAAATCGTAGTAAAATTAGGAAAAAGCCTGGTCCGTCCACAGAAAGGGGCAAAAGTCAGCCTAACCTCGATCTCAGTTCAGAAGATCACTGCCCAGCTGCCAATGACTCTGGAATTACTGATGTTACCACATCTGAAAGTACGTGTGTCCTTGAAGTCAAGCAGGAACAGGCAGCAGAGAACCAAGCTGAGTCTCTAAACCCCGCTGGTGCTGATGTGCCGCATTCTAACATTGTGAGTCCCTGCAACTCCTCTGACTATCGCTTTGAGTGCATATGTGGTGAACTTGACCAGATGGACCTTAAGCCTCGTGTTCAGTGCCTGAAATGCCACCTGTGGCAACACGCAGAATGTGTGAATTACGAAGAGAAGAACCTGAAGATTAAGCCTTTTTACTGCCCCCACTGCCTTGTTGCAATGGAACCAGTGTCAACAAGAGCAACTCTGATCATCTCGCCAAGCTCCATCTGTCATCAGTGGGTGGACGAAATCAACAGGCATGTGAGGTCGTCGTCTCTTCGCGTGTTGGTAAGGCAGTTGGGCTCTTTGAAGGAGTAGGAAAACAAATTTTGACTTGTTCATAATAGCTTTTGTAATCTTTGTCACTTTATTCTTTATCCCAACAATTAACTTAATGAGATAATAATAGTAAATCAGAGCTTGAAGAGGACATTGAAAATAAAATACAGAACAGTGAATTATTTATTCTTTTCTGACATCAGAAGTTCAGGAGTTAAAGCACTTTAAGTAGAAAGATGTGAAAGCTTTTGAAAAGGACTCATCATGTAAATGAGAAAGTCTTTGATTAAGCATTTACACTCTTACACAGAAATGCAGTCCAAAGGCAGTATTATGTAATAGCTATAATACTTATCTGATCTGCCACCTATTAGCTCCCAAATGTTCCTCTGTAGCCTCAGTTAACTCATCTGTGAAATAAGAATTGACTCATTCGACAAATATTTATTGAGCACCTGTTACGTGCCAGGAACTGTGCTAAGTTCTGAAAATAGTATCCCCTTACAGACCTCCTCACATTGTGAAGATTAAATGATTTGATAAAGTGCTGACACGTGGTCATTCAGTGTTGCTGTTCACTAATGTTAGTGTTCCTCATTCTCTTCTTCTTTTCTTCTTTGCAGTCAAATGTTATTGCAGGTTTTCTGTATTTCAGCCACTGTCCTGGGCATGGAGAGAGAATCCAGTTATAAGTAAAACACCATCTTTCCCTTTGAGGAGCTCTGCTTTGTGGGGTAGACAAACCTTGGTTTCATTCTTGGCTCTACCAGTTTTGAGCAAGTCACTTCATGTTTCGTCCACGTGGACTAGGAATAAACAACTGCTAACGGGGTTGTTGAAGATAGGAGATAAAGCTTAGCACTGTCTGAAGCATAGCAGGCATTCAGTAAATAGCAGCTCTTGCTCTTCTAATTTTACCATTGTGCTTTTGCACATGGTATTGATTCTGTCGACCTCCCTACATGGCTTTTTCCCTTTTTCCCCACCTGTGAGAGAGAACTCCTAACTGTTCTTCCAGACCCACCTCAAATTTTAAGTCCTCTCTGAATTTACCTTTTCAGCCATAGAATTGGTCTTCCCACTGTGATGCTATCACGTTGACTTTTGTGACAGTTCCTTTCACATGGGTGGCGTTACTGGTCTTCCACACTAAAATGTGTCTTTCTCTAGACAGGTGTGGGATGTGCCTCCTAGCATGGTTGGTTCTAAACAAACAGAAGGGGCTTGGTAAGGGCCTGAATGAATGATTATTTCAGCCATCTTTGATAAACCTTTCCGCCATAGCAGTGTCCCTGCTGATTATTTCCTAGGTATATCAAGGAGTGAAGAAAGATGGCTTTTTGCAGCCTCACTTTTTGGCAGAACAGGATATAGTCATTATCACCTACGACGTCCTCCGCTCAGAGCTGAACTACGTGGATATCCCGCACAGCAACAGTGAGGATGGGCGCCGCCTGCGCAACCGGAAGCGCTACATGGCCATCCCCAGCCCCCTGGTGGCCGTGGAGTGGTGGCGGATCTGCCTGGATGAGGCCCAGATGGTCGAATGTCCTGCGGTGAAGGTGAGGAGCTCTGCCGAGTGTCCTGAGGGCCAGGGAGGAGAGAAGGGGAAAGGGGTGGGGAAAGCTGTCCATAGAAGTCTTAGTAATTCAGGTGTAATTCACCCGCAATGTTGATACCAGCCAAAACTTTGCTGTTCAGCTCGCCACTTTTGCTTTTCTCCTGTGCTTTGGACTATGTAAGCCTTAGGTACTCTTAACCATTGGTCTATACGCAGTGCCCGTGTGTATTTGAGTAAGATGGCATTTAATGTGTGATGAAGATCAAAGTCAAGTCTGCTGAGGGACTTTGTAAGCATTTCTGCCAGGTGGGAAGTTGATGTAGGCTCTGATAGCTTGGGGACAAAGTGGGCTTTGGCAGTTTTTTATCAGGGAGACTAGCTGGGAGCGAAAATGCTACTTCAGAAGATAGACTTTTGATTCAACCTTTGTCACATGTCTTTATTCTGTCTTCTTTGGCCAGCCTGTAACCTGTCCTGAATTTCTGAGTCACGTCTATTAGTGTAATGGTTCACACCTGAAGGATGGGGTGAGGATGTATCAGTCATTCAGGGAGCCTTTTCATCCTGTACATCTTGAATTACCCTTCCTCTATGGTGGGGGTGGGGTGACCTGTGACATCCTCCTGCTAATGAAAAACACTATGCTAGAAGTTGGCTGATGGAATGTGACATTCAACATTTAGTGTGGTAACTGTTAAATAAAAGCAAGAGCATCAGAACTGAAGCATAGCTTTTGGGGGCTGTTTTCATGAGTAGACTTGTTCCTGACTTCTGCATTCTTATGTTTTTCTTTTTCATTCCATATTTCTCTCATCAGGCTGCAGAAATGGCTCAGCGCTTGAGTGGGATTAACCGCTGGTGCATCAGTGGCACTCCAGTACAGAGAGGATTGGAGGGTAATGTGTATATGGTATCCTCACGTAGTGCATGTATTGGACAGCTTAAATTTTTTAAAGAAAAAGTACTGTTATGTTTAACCTTTGCCGAAATCCTTATTTAAGTGATTTTACACGTATTTGTATTTGACTCCTAGTAGTGTCAAGCATTGATCTTCTTAAATGGAATCAGATTATTTTTGTTTTTATATATGGGGATAGATATATAGTGGGAGTCCCATTGTCCTAAATTGAACAGTTGTTGTGCCTACCTAAAAAGTGCAGATAGGGGTTACAGAGTGGTAAGCAGAAAACAGAACGAACCTGACAAGAATGAGAGAGAGAGAGAGAAAGGAGAAAGGAATTAATTTCAATTGGCTGTGTCTATAAAAATAAGGATCATAATGTTTATTGCCTGAACCCATAAATAGTGGGGCCATGATTTTACTAATTGTAAAAGTTATAAAATATTAATAGCTTTATAACATCACACCAGATGGCTATACCATTATTCCATCAACCCCCCCTCCCTCTTTTGCACATTTAGATTGTGTCTCGTTCTCCCCTCCTACACACACAGTGTAACTCAGGCTTCTACATAATCTCATGCATATAACGTACTTTTACAAAAAGCACACACTGCATTTTTAAAACTTGTATTTAACTTGTGAGTGTTTAAAATTAAAAGTTCAAGTAAATATTGTTTTACATAATAAATTTTTTTGAAAACTGTCATTAAAACATAGTTAAATGATAATACATAAATATTCTTGAACTCCTGTGGCAAATCTTCATCTTCAAAACTTACCTTTCTGAAAATTCAGGCTTTTTTATATTGTTTGTTTTTAACAGGATAATATCACTCTGCTAAAATAAAAATGTCAACATCCATTACTGTGACCAGAAAAACAATATATTTTTGATGATGACTTTTAGGAGGAAAAATGTTTCCTATGAAGATTTTATAAGTACATATTTAAATATTTATGTAATTTTAGTAAGTTACATTAAGATACATATTATAGAATAATAGTCTAATTAAAAGGCCAAATTTAGGGGCCGGCCGAGTGGCTCAGTTGGTTAAGAACTCACCTCAAGAGTTTGAGCTCTAAGCAACAGCAGTTCGATTGCCAGCCCGAGCTGAGCAGCCGCTGAGCTGCCAACAGGTGGCAGGATGGCTCAGGTTAAAAAAAAAAAAAAAGGCCAAATTTAGTGGTCTGCTGTTACTTTTGGAAACTGCCCAAATTGTAGATATTTTAGATATGTAGGTGTTAATAAGATCTCATACAGCTCAGAAGTTAGCTGAGAGGGTACAGAAAAAAGAAAACTATCAGAGTTGCTTTTTTTCTAATTTTAGAAAAAATATGATCAATCATTTCTGTTACTTAGATAGGTTATTTTGGATATATAAGATGTTGGCAGATGTTTTGAACACTTGTCACCATTCATTCAATAAATTTTTGAGAACATTTTTTAAAAACAGCTTTATTGCGGTATGAATGACATATAATAAAACTGTAAAATTTGTAAACTTTTGACATATGTGTATACCCTTGAATCTGTTTTCACAATCAGGATAATCACCCCCAAAAGTTTCCTCCTGCCCAAGTTACCTAAAAAAGAACTTTTCCAAACTTTCCTCCTGCCCAAGTTACCTAAAAAAGAACTTTTCCAAATTTTCTGGAATTTTAGTTTATCTTTCCTCTGCTTCCATAACTGACATCTTGAACACTATGATTCTCGCGGTGTATCAGTTCTTTTTGTAACTGTTGCAGTGAGAACGTTAGCCTGCCAGGATTTATTATGTCATATTTGGAAGTGAAAGGCTCAGTGTGTGTGTGTGTGTGTGTGTGTGTGTGTGTGTGTGTTAGACCAGCATTTCTCAACTTTGGCCCCATTGACATTTTGGGCTGGATAATTATTTTTTTTAGCAGCTGTCCTGTGCCTTTTAGGATGTTAGCTTCTACCCACTAGATGCTGGTAGCACTCTTGCAGTTGTGACACCCACAGATGTCTTCAGACATTGCACATATCCCCTGCAGGGAAAAATTGCACCCCTCCACCTCCACCTCAGTTGAGAAACCAGTGTGTTAGACTGATAGAGATAAATCAGATTTGATGAGTTATTAATTAGCTACAAACTCAGAAATCTTGTGCGTCCCAGGTTGGCCACATTCTGAGCAAGGAAATAGGCTAGGATGTTTTCATTCCATAATTTGCCAGGCCTTTTGTATGTTCTACAGGCAAGCTGAAATAATGTCAGTCTGCTTACAATGTCAAATAGGCAAGAGCATTGCCAGCCCCTCCCACCCGCCATACCCCATGTCTATATAATGTATTTGTTTTAGAGTATTATACAAAGCATTGGCTTTGGGGTTATATGAACCTAGGCTTACCTCCTGACTTCCTAGTTCTATGTCCATAAACAAGCTACTTAAATATTCAAATCCTTATTTTCTTTATTTGTAAAACAAGGTGTTTTAAAGATTAATTATAATAAAGTGGGCAAAGCATTTCGCACAGTACCTGGCAGATATTAAATATTCAATGAGTGGTAGCTGCTTCTGCTGCTTTTGTTGTTCTTCTTTTTCATTTATCTATTAATTTATTTTGGGTTTTTGGTTTTTGTTTTTGAAATGTAGACTTTAAATAACTTAATACTTTGTGGTAACATGTATTGGTTCATTATTTATTTTTTGGGAAACATAATAGTGCTCAAAAAATCGGCAAGGTCCCTGACCTTATTAAGCTTACAGCTTAGAGAGGAAGATATATTTATTAAATACTTAGACAAATGTAATGTTACAATCAAGATAATTTTTATATATGAAATATAAAATCCTAACTACCGTATTTGCCGGCGTATAAGACGACTCGGCGTATAAGACGACCCCCTAACATTTCCACTCAAAATACAGAGTTTGTTATATGGTCGGCTGTGTGCGATTTTGCGAGTGTGGTAAAATCGCATAACAGCAAAATAGCATAACAGCCGAGCATACACCCAGCAGCGCTGCTGATGCCTGAACGGTATGTGGAATGAAGTGGGCGGGCATTGGGAGGCCACTATGGCACGGGGCAAGCACTATGGGCAGTCTATCTGAAGTGTACCTGGCGTATAAGACGACCCCCCACTTGGAGGCATATTTTTCAGGGCCAAAAAATCGTCTTATACGCCGGCAAATACGGTATAATAGGTTTCAAAACAAGATGTCTGGCTCTATGACGTCACATAAAAGGGATGCAGAAGGAAGTGACAACTGCATCAAGATCTGAAACATTAACATGAGTTAGGTAAACACAGGGAAGAATTCTCTAGTATGAAGCGCCTAGTATTGAGGGCGTCTTTGGGGCCTCAAAGAACGGGTAGCATATAGGCAATTGGATTGGTTTGAACAGAAAATATAAATTTCTGCATATCTGCATATGTACAATTTTCAGATGTTACTAAAACTCAGGAACCAGCAAAGTAACTTAATTCAACTTAAATATTTATTGTCATCTTCAGAATGAAGGTTGTAGGTAGGGTCATGGCTTTTTTTTTTTTAATGTCTTAGAATATATGACCATTGTGAACATGTTTATCAATATAGAAAAACATAAGTAAAATTACACTTAGCTATAATCTTCATTTGAAGATATAACCACTGTTCCAAACTTTTCTTTATAGATGATTATATATTTGCACTCATACTACGTGCATAATTTTATTTTTTTTTTCTACTTAACATTGTATCCTAAGCAGTCTTCCATGTTTAAAAATTCATCATAAATATATGGAAAACTGCTTAGGGTATATATAATGTTAAATAGGAAAAAAAGAGGGATATAAAATAGAGTGTTTCCAATCAAGAAATATATAAGAAGTACCATATTCCAAAGCTAACAAACACAAGACCTGCTGGATCAGGGGGAAAAAAGGTCTTACGGGCATGATAATCATTCCTTTACTTGAGGCACTTTTATTCTGTATATTGTTGCTGTGAATATCACTGTGGGGTAAATCTTGTCTCTTTTTTATTAGTGTCTTAGCTTATTTCCTAGAAGTAGAATTATTTGATCAATGAGTATGAGGAATATTGGATCAGAGTATTCTCCATACCACTTTTGTGATGAGAACTTTTTCTTTTCTGATCCAGGTAATTTTGCATCTATTAGTTTAAGTGTGTGATACTTCTTATGTATCTCTTGATCAGGCACACTCAATTGAGTAGCTTTCTTATTTTATTTCTGATAGAAGTTTCAGGCTTTTGAATTAAGTACAAACTTTGTGTAATGAATGGTTCTATAAACTTTAAAACATTTTAGCTCCAAGCAGAAAAGCTAGAGCAGATTACTCAGTAAATGGAAGTTGAATTGGAATTGACTTTCAGATTCAAGAGCCTGTACTATCTGCATTTTAATTCATGGAAAGTATTACGTGTTATGGAATGTCTGTGAAAGTGGTTATTCAAAATAGTAATGAAGAAATACGGAAGCAGTTATTCTCAATGTGCTTTGTTCTTTTTTTTTCCTTTTCAGATCTTTTTGGGTTAGTGGTCTTTCTGGGTGTTGAACCTTACTGTGTCAAACACTGGTGGGTTCGACTCCTCTATCGCCCTTACTGCAAGAGGAACCCTCAGCACCTGTACAGCTTCATTGCCAAGGTTCTATGGAGGTCGGCAAAGAAAGACGTGATCGACCAAGTCAGTAGGATAAGTTTCTATTGATTAACGATATTAAAAAGAAAAAGAAGCAGAGTTGGGATGGAAAGCGACATTTCCAAGTGAAATCTTTTTTTCTCCCCTTTTTACAGATCCAGATACCTCCTCAGACAGAAGAAACCCACTGGCTACACTTTTCTCCAGTGGAAAGACATTTTTATCACCGCCAACATGAGGTGTGCTGCCAGGACGCAGTAGTAAAACTCAGGAAGATTTCCGACTGGGCTCTGAAGCTCAGCAGCCTGGACAGACGGACTGTCACCTCCATCCTGTACCCACTGCTGAGGCTCAGGCAGGCCTGCTGCCACCCACAGGCCGTTCGCGGGGAGTTCTTGCCACTCCAAAAAAGGTTTTATCATCAGTTTCCTTCTACTGCAGTTGATAATATAGTAGTGATGGACAATATTTAAGCAGTTATCTTCCTAGCTCAGTTTCATTCATGGTCTTGTGACTGAGTTGGCAGTTATTTTTAGCAGTGTGGTAATTTCTCTTTGATATATGGAACCATATTTGTGAAAGCAAATCACATCAAAATTGTTTTTACATTTTTGAGCATTTCTTTTAAAATTAGGACTATTGTGGAGTTTTGTTTTTTGTTTCGTTGTTTTATTTTGCTGCACTCCAGATATGAAATGCTTTTGCTCTTTTCTTTACATTTTGTTGGTTTATAGGGTTGGGTAGCATGGTTTCAGGCATCTACTGAGGGTCTTGGAATGTATCCCCACGGATAAGAGGGGCCTACTGAAATTAAGTTAAAAGTGATAGTGGTAAAAGTGGAGGTGAAGAGAAAGATGCCGAAGGTACCACAAAGACTCTGTAAGAGTCTGATGATCTCACGTGATTCAGTACTCTCACTTAGGACTTTCGTTCTAGTTCTGAACAAAGTGCCTCTTCTTTTAGCACCATGACAATGGAGGAGCTGCTGACATCGCTGCAGAAGAAATGTGGAACTGAATGTGAAGAAGCTCATCGGCAACTAGTTTGTGCCCTCAATGGCTTAGCAGGCATCCACATCATTAAAGGTAGAAGGTGATTACTTTGTTGTCTGTGACTCTCCTCATACTTAATGATGAAGATTAGGTATTAATAGACATCAAAATCCCCAGAGAAAAACACTCTTACAAGCTACTGATGGTAACCTCCATAGGTTCAACCTGAGGGAGAGCAGGTATGCAGGACATCTCAAACTCTTCAGAGTCACCTGTGCTTGTACCAAGCATTTCCACGTGTAGAGTTTTTTTGGGGATTTTTTGTTGTTCTGGGTTTTTTTGTTTTTGGTTTGGTTTTTGGTCTGTTTTTGGTTTTTTTTTAGGGGAATGAGGTTGTGAACAAAGACCTGGCTATAAATTATTAATCTTAGTCAATCATAGTGAACAATTGTGAAAGAACCAATATGTCTGGAATTAGAAGAATGGCTAAATTCTGACACATTCAAGGGAATTTTGGTCATTGATTTACAAAATAAGATTCTTTGTAAATTCATTCTTTCCATAAATATTAGAGTGTCTGCTGTGTACCTTGTATGATCTGGATACCAAAGATGGTACCATCAAACAAAGTAAAGTCTCTGATTTTGTGGACCTTAAATTCTTAGCAGAGGGAGACAGGTAAGTGCACACACACACCTAATGTGTGTAGCATACTTATGGCAGTATATATTCACAAAATTTAAGGAGGTTAGAAAGAGAATTTTGTATTTCATGGAAAGATGTTTACTTGGTGTTTCCCATCTCTCAGGGATCACTTTTTTGTTGCCTGATGGCCAATATCTTATAAACTATTATTTCGTGTATATATATTATGTGTTATTTTAGCTGTTTCAGGAAAGAGAGTAAATCCATTCTGTTATTCTGTCTTAGAAGCAGAAGTTATGTAACTGGTTCTTTCAACAAGCACCATTTAGCAAATACCTTTCCATATAAATACGAGCATCATTAGAACTGTATTTCATAGGTTCAAGAGTAAAGGTTAAACATGTTAAGTAGAGACATTGAAACATAAATTCAGGCTTCTATAGATGCAAATTTCCATGTCTAATATGGAAAATACATTTAATAAATAGCAGATTAGACTCTGCAGAAAAAAATGTCAGTAGCACAGTAGCATCGAAGAATAGAATAGCAATAGAAACTATACAACATGAAAAAGAGGACGAAGACTGAAGATTCTGAAAAGAGCATCATTGAGATTGTAGGTAACTTCAAATGCAACAACAAATGCACTAAGTCTGGGAGGGGACAAATGGATATTTAATGTTGCAAAGTTTTTATACTATATATGAAGTGGTATAATATCACATGGCAGTAGAATGTGACAAGTCACAGAAAGATATGTGCTGTACACAGTAAAGCAGCCACTGAAAAACACCACAAAGTGTTAGAAGTAATAATCTCAGAGATTTAAAAAAAAAATCTCAATCTGAAAAAAAGAATGAATGATTATAGCATATTTTATCTTTTATTCTATAGATAAAAGAATAAAAGGGAGCAAAGAACAGACGAGACAAATATAAAACACAGAGCAAGATAGTAGATTTAAACCCAAGCATATCGGTGATCACATTAGATGTAATGGTCTAAATGCCTCAGAGTTTTTCAGAATAGATTAAATAAAAAATTTTTAAAGCAATATCTAATAATATGCTGTGTAGCAGAAACCCCCTTTATATTTAAAGATGCAAATGTAAAAGGATATAAAAAGATATAGTGTGTTAACACTAATAAAAAAAAAGCTGGTGTGGCTATATTACTGTAGACAAAGAATATTACCAAGGATAGTGTTATTTCATTACTGGAAAATAAGAGTCCTAAGTGTTTATGTGCCTAAACCAGGGCTTCAAAATAAAACCTGTTAGAACTGCAATGAGAAAAAGACAAATCCATAATTATAGTCAGAGATTTCAACAACCCTCTTCAATTATTGCTAGCACAAGAAAAAGAAAAGTAAGGACATAGAAAACTCTAACAACACTATCAACCAATTGACATATAATCAGCAGTTATAGAACACTTACCCAACCAAAGAATATGCATTCTTTTCAAAGTGTACATGGAATGTTAACCAAGACAGGATATGTTCTGGGCTGTAAAACATGTTAATAAATTTAGAAGGGTTTATGTCTTACAAAGTATATTCTCTATCCTCAGTGCAATTAAATTAGATGTCAAACAGAAAGATAAGTGGAAAGTCCCCAAATATTTGGGAACTAAACACCATACTTTTAAATGACCTTTGGGTTAAAGAATAAATTAAAAGGGAAACTGGGAAATATTTTGAAGAGAATTAAAATACAAACACAACTTATCAAGTTATGTGGAATGTAGCAAATCAATAATTAAAGGGGAATTTATGTGACTAAACACCTATATTAGAAAAGAAAAATGTTTTAAGTCAGTGACTTCAGCTGATACCTTAAGAAACTAAAAATGTAGAGCAAGTGAAACTTTTAGAAGAAAACAAAGAAAATATTTGTGAATTAGGATTAGGCAAAGATTTCTTAGATACAGCACCAAAAGCACAATACATAAATGGAAAAAACTGGTAGATTTAACTTCAAAATTAATAACTTCTGCTCTTCAAAAGGCACTCTTAAGAAAATAAAAAGATAAGGCATTGAATGGAGAAAATACTTGGAAATCACATACCTGAGAAAGGACTTGTATCCAGACTATAAAAAGACCTATTAAAAACCAATAATAAAATAACCCAATTAAAATAGGCAAAATATTTTAACAGAGACGTCAATGATGTGTAGACATGGCAAAAGGCACATGAGAAGATAGAAATTCAGCATCATTAGTCATTAGGTATATGCAAATTCAAACCACAAAGATATCACTGTGCGCTTATTGGAATGACTCAATGACCCGATGTTGGTGAAGATGTGGAAACAGCTGGAATCCTCATTCATACACTGTGATGAGAAGACAAAATTGTACAACCAGCTTTCTATTACTTCATTTACTCGTTAGCTTTATTTTTATGACCGCAATTTACTTTTATAGTTATCTTGGAATTAACTTAGTGCCTCTTCCTTTGTGTTAGCATCGTTTATTTTTTGCAGAAATTTATTCTAGATTTCCTGCATGATAACTTTTCTGGCTGACTGAACTCAAGTGTTACTTTTTTGCAACTTCAGTGAATCACTGAGTGCTCTTTTCAACAGCTCCTTCAATCTGTTATTCCATTTGTAATATAATAAGAGATTGTATAGTTCTGTAGCTTTTATACCATAGTGACTCTTAGAAACTTGCTGGTAGTGAGGAAATTACTGATGTAAATGTACCTTTATAAAACCTCTAATAGCTTTGGTTTAGAAAATTTGATTTTTGTTCCTCTAAAACTAAGTGGAATATAGTCCTTGAAGTCATATAAGGATTTCATAATGGTGAAATAATGTACAGTTTTAAGTACTTTGATAATTTAGGGTGTACAAGTGCTTCTTTATTTCTGTATTTCTCACAAAATCTGTGGCGTTAGCGCATCATTATGTTAGAGCTGGAAAGCATTTCATGGTAAATTCCACTTCCTCCAACCTTCCCACAAAGGTTCCTAATCCATTATTCTACGTGGGTACACAATCACAGAGAGACTTTACCCTTCTCATGGACCTCGTAAGACCTTAAAGAAATCAGATACCCGGGAAAAATTGTGTTTTTGTGGAATACAGGAAATGTTCTAAGCCTCTTTGAATGTAGTGGTCTGTCTTAATATATCAGCTCTTCAGCATAACAGCAAGAACTGGGGTGTCTCTTGTCCTCCCGATTCATGGGTAGAGTTAGAGAAGCTGAACAGAAGTAGCTCTGGACAAGAACTGAAGAAGATGAGGCTTCTTATTTGCTATAGTTGTAGTCCTGTGAACTTGAGTATATCATTCAAAGTTTCTGAATCTCGGTTTCCTTATCAATAGAATATAGACAATACCATGTGCTGTGCCTTGAAGTATTGCTCTTAATATGAAGTGTGGATACACACTGAAAACTTGATACAAACGTATAGGTGAAGAATGATGTTACTGATTGTGATAATATGAAGTGACCACAAATTCTTACCACTTTTCAACCTGCTTACAATGCAGATTTTATTAGTAACTAATAATAAGAGAAAAGGGTATATTATTACATATCCGTGATAAATAGTTCAAATACAGTACATGTACCTTTCTGAGCAAATCTTCCCTCTAAGACATTCCCTAGGAAATCTTCGATTTAGCTGGCAGTGTTTGCAAGTTTGCATTTTCTCTGATAATTCTTAATCATCACCCTCATCATCATTACCATCTCAATTGCTAAGTGTGCCTAAGACTAGTATTGCAGGCATCAGTCTAAACTCTAAAATGGTCTGTGCTTTACAGTCCATAGTGAACAACTAAATGAGGCAACCTTTTAACAGAAAACAATTTTTTATTTAAACTCTTCTTTATTTCGACTTGGAAATAACTAGGCAAAAATTGGGAACTCCTGTGCCATATGTAATACCAGTTTCTCAGTCCCAAATTAATGGAGTGGAACAATTGTGATTAAAATCTACAGAATACTTGACTATCCGATTAGCTATATGTGGGCTTGGTCTTTAAAGTACATGAATAATGAATATATTATTTAAAATATTTCAGTTCATTAAATCCAGCATCTTATCTGAGAAATGATCATACAAGCATTGTATATTATGTATAACACTTTCATGTAAATATTCCTTTTTATCCTCATAATGCCCCAGTGAGGTTAATTATCCAATAAAGTATCATCCCCATTTTATATAGTATGAGAAAACTGGAATTTGAAAGTCTTAATTGCTTTCTCAAGATTATAGCTAATAAATAACAGAATTTGCCCTGGATCTTTACATTTCAAATCAAATGTTTAATGTTATTATTATACTATGTCTGCTTCTTTATCAAATACACATTTGTAAGCCTCAATATTATGCTATCTATAGTAGGTTGAAGCTCACCATCACATATTTCTAAAATGAAGTAATATATTAGTTGTAGATTGTCACAATAATAAAACTAAAATTCAGATTTCCCCTCTTGATTCTAAAACTGCATTTCTGATTTTATTCTATGCTGTTAGGACTCACAAGCGTATTAGACACTTAATTTCTTCACTTGGCCTAATTTCTAGTCTCCTTTTCAGATTTATTGTCTCCTTTTTCTTGCTGTGAAGTTATACATGATATGGGGATTGGGGAAAAAAAAGTTTTTTCATCTGATCATTTCCAAACACTGTACACTCCAGCAGGATTATCATGGAGCTGCCTCCCATGTGGCAAATACCATGCTATGGCATGACAGGAGGCATATCCCTGCTCTTTCCAGATGTTTCCACTGCATTCCCACTGTACTTCTTGGTCTTTCTGTGGATGGAAACTATTGCTAATTGTTAAGAGAAAGTCCTATTAGAAAGTCCATTAGAAGGGCCGGCCGAGTGGCTCAGTTGGTTAAGAGCTCGCTCAAGAGTTTGAGCTCTGAGCAACAGAGGTTCAAGTCCAGCCCGAGCTGAGCAGCCGCTGAGCTGCCAACAGGTAGCAGGATGGCTCAGCTTAAA